GTTAGTAATTTGAACGATTATAGCCTAATTTCATGTTAATTATGTTGTTAAGTTGAAATCAATGCAAATTCGTGAATTTGGAACAAATGAACGAAAAACGTACGAAAACGAAAGAATTCCAAAATTTGGGGATCAAAGTATAAATATTCAATAGTTGATTCGGATCACAAAACGATGATTGAAGATCATATAACATCAATTGGATGCAATTGGAGGTCAAAGGAACGAAATAGAGTTGAAGCATTTTCACAAATTAATTTCTAGCTGAAGAAGTTATGCTGAGATTTTAAGTCTCAATTTGAGACCCATTTTTCAAGTAGCAAACAATCGAATTGGAAAATTTAAATTGTGAGCACGGACCAAATTTTCTATGAAGGGTCAATTTCCTTATTCTGACATCATATATATACCTAAACACACCCAGAACAAAGAGAACCTTCCTTTCGACTTGAAAATCTTATATTCTACGTATTTTGAAGGCAAAAAACGAGGTCAAGCATCAAGATAAAGGGCGGATTATACAAGTTTATTGAAAAATATTTATCCTTTTTCAATATTCAAGCCAAGAAATTGGATTCCTCCACTTTCTTCATTATTTCTTCTTTTCGGGTGATGTTTTTCCAATATTTATTGTATAATTGAATCAGTAGAATACTATGCTAGTTTTCTATTGTATTGGATGAATTATGAATCCTATTGCATATTTGTTTTGATTTAAAACTATTAATTTATTTATTTCTTGATTTTCTTGATTGATTTTGCATACCCATTGCATTATTTAATTGATTTGCCACAAATTGAATAATTAGTTACTTATTGTAGCGTTGTGGGACTCACAATCAGTTTAGAACGCGACAAAATCAACATATATATATATATAGAATTAGGAATAATCTTTATCACATATGCAATCGCATAGATAACCTATAATTTAATGCATTTTGGTCCTATGAATTCGGACTAGGGATATGATCAGGTCGTGATTAAAATAAATTTAATTTGTCTTGGAAAAGAGAATTAAATACATTAGTATTATCAATTATCACAAAGCATGAAATTGACTATATTACGAATCAAGAATTAAAATAAATGGCAATAGGAGGATTCACGATTCCAATATAAACATTCACATATTTGACAAAATAATTTTCATTGCTTCCTTATTTTAGAATTATTTTAAATAAAATAGAATCACAGCTTGTGTATCATGAACATCGAATTTAATAGTAACTAGTGAACTAGAATTAAACATTATTCCTCGTGGGACGATAACTCACAACTCACTTTATTATTACTTGTCAACGATCACTACGCTTGCGGGTTTTACGGGAACGAGTTTTTAGCACCGTTGTCGGGGAATAATGGATTTAATTTTAGTTTAATAGTTAATATTAAATTTGATTTTTTCTTTTTCTTTTCTTTTTGTTTTTTTAGGCTTTAATTGAAGTACCCGATCTTCGTATTTTCACTCTACGCAGGTTTTCACAAGTTTATGCAAGATCTTGGCTAGATCAAGATCCTCCATATAGATCCTCAGATCGAAAGGACCTTCAAGCAACGTCGAAGAGAACAAAGAAGAGTAAGGGTAATGGCTGAGAATCAGAATTAGATTCAGGGTTCAACAACCACCTCTGGCTCAGCCTGTATTGGTTGGGATTATGTGAATCCTTTGCCAGCTCCGATTCAACCTTCAATCATCTATCCACCCTTTGGACAAGCAAACTCTCAAATCCAACCAGATGTCATAAACCTCTTTCAAAATCATTAAGATATTAGGCTCAGTGGGAAAGCTATGGAAAATCCACATGAACACATTCAAGCTTTTACCATGTTGTGTGACGTAATTAACCATGAAGAGATGTCACAGGATGCATTTTTAATGCATCTATTTCCTCACATTTTGAAGGAGGGTGCGAAAATATGAATAATGTCACAGCCTCCTAGGAGTATTGTATCATGGAATGACATGTTACAAAAATTTACCATGAAATTCTTCCCGCCATCTCAAGTCCATCAAATTAGAAGCGAAGTATATCTTTTCAAACAGAAAAACTTAGAGACATATCCAGGAGCATAGGACATGTTCAAGAGCACGTTTCGGAAGTGTCCAAATCTTGACATTCCTAGACTGGCGCAAATATATCTCTTCTATAATGGACTGCGCTCTGAATTTAGTAATATTACAGATGCTTCTGTGGGCAGATCGATTTTGACGATGGAGGTAGATGAAGCACATGAACTATTTAAAAGGATTGCAATGAATCAGGCTAACTAACCAACTGACAGGGAGGCTCCGAGGAAGGCAACTAGGATGCATAATATAGACTCAGTGACAGCTTCAGCAGTACATGTAAAAGTAATAACGAAAAAACTTGACACTTTAACTCAATTTGTGCACATGGTACAATATCCAACTCCAGTTTGCACAGGTTGTGGGGTAGATCACATCACTGTAAGTTGTCCTTTGACTTCTACTCATATGAATCAGCCAGTAGAGGTTAGTTATGCACAAAACTATTAGGGATAAAATGGATCTTACCCATACAACTATCATCCGAGTTTAAACAAACATCCCAACTACGCATGGGTGGATAATTCTGATCAAGTAAATCAGATGAGGGACAATCTACTAATGATTCAGCAATAAGAAGAAAAGAGGCAATCCTCGGAAGATCTACTTGTCAAGCACATTAGCAAGACTAAGACGATGATACAGAATCAGAAAGCCTCTATACATAACTTAGAGAATCAAGTGGGACAGATAGCAGCTACATTAGCCAATAAACCATAGGGTACCTTGCCTAGCGACACAGAGAAAAATCCACAAAAGCAGGTACTAGCAATTGAGGCGGTGAATTCTGAGATCAAAGAACCACCATCATTCACTCCTGTCGTCGTGATCAAGGCTTATTTGCCACCCATTCCATTCTTTCAAAGACTGCAAAGGTAGCCAAAAGTGCAGTAGGTTCATGCCATCACCATTAGATATGGGGTTTAACTACCGAATATTACTACAAGAAGGAACGAGACGGGCAAAGAACAAGTGGAGTATTCCAAAAAATCAACAGAAAAGGATCAACAAATGCCTTCGAACAGTCCACAAGTAGGTGTAAAAGTTCCTATCAAAGCACTTACGCACCCAGTCTCATTACCTCAAAGATTGAAAAATACGAAACTGGAGAAGCAGTTCACAATGTTTCTGGAAGTCCTTAAACAGCTGCATGTCAACATCCATTTCATTGAAGTGATCCCTCAAATTCCAAACTATTTCAAGTTTTTAAAGAAAATGTTGACCAAAAAGAGGAAGTTGCCCGAACACGAAACGAGAGCATTATTTGAAGAATGCAGTGCGATCATTCAGCGCAGGATCCCTCCAAAACTTAAAGATCCAGGGAATTTCACTCTACCTTTCTCCATAGGAATATTATACGATATAAATTGTTTAATTAATTTGGGAGCGAGTATTAATTTAATTCCCTTTCCTCTTTACAGGAAAGTGGGATTAAGAGATCTTAAGGTGGTGTCTATTATCCTTCAGCTGATGGATCGATCATTGAAATACTCCTATGGAATAGTCCAAGATATGCTTATCAAGGTGGGGGAGTTCATTTTTCTAGCTGACTTTATCATATTGGGCATAGAAGAGGCATGTCAGATGCCAATAATCTTGGGAAGGCCCTTTTTGTCTACAAGCCAAGCTTTGCTGGATTTTGATGCTAATGAGATAGTCTTGAAGGTGGAAGATAAACAACAGAGCTTCACCATGGAGAATCCAATCAAGCAACCCTTATACTTTGAAGATTGCCAACAAGTGGATTATTGGGAGAGCTACAAAGACAGGCCAAATGAAGGAAGAATTGTCGGTAGGGACAATGATGAAAACTTGGTTATTTGGAGGATGACAGATAAAAGAATGAAGTGCGATCAGTGCATGAAATGCAGGGTTGAAAATTCTCTTTTCAAGCCACCATGAAAAGCCTAGAAATAACAGGAGTCAAGCTTAGGACTTTAAACAAGCGCTTGTTGGGAAGCAACCCAATATTTCTATCCCTTTTATTTATTTTGCTTTCTAGTTATGGGATAATTTAGTTTATTTTTAGAGTTTTAATTAGGGAATTATTATCCATATCTCATTTTTCCTTAGATTACTTGTTGGTTTATTGATATTTGAGCCAAGTAACACTTGTTCTAGCTATTTTGTGCCTTAATGTTTTATTTATTTGTATTGCACAAGAACATGACGTCGTGAAACACTTGAACAAACCATTACTAAGGAAACAACAGGAGACATTGAAAGCTAATCATTGAATTTTATGCCATATCAGGGGAGTATGTTCTTCCTTTTCTTCCCCATCATTTATATGCGGACTTAGGATTTTAGACATTAAGGGCAATGTCTGTTATAAGTTTGAAGATGGAAAAACATTGAATTTGTATTGGTTTGTGTGCTTGTCGAGTGCCAAAAAAAAAGATTATTCTCAGCTTATTTATTTATTTATTATTTTTTTTAATTTTTTGGTGCTTGTGTTGATTAGGTAAATTTGCCTACTGTGATGTATATATTTGGAATCATGTTTTAGGCCATAAGGTGTGAAAAAGTTGCATGGTAGGGTTGATTTATGATTATTCGTATAAAAATTGATATTTTTAGAGCACAAATTTATGTTTTGCATTATAAAAGAATAATTTGATTCAAAATTTGAATAGGTTGAAAAAGAAAAATATAGTGGACCTTAGATACTATATCCAAACAACCACTAAATTATACATCTTTAAACCAATTTTAGAATAATTTGGGAGTGATTGAACGGTTGTAGGGAGACATTGAGATAAATGTGGATTCCATGTGTGCTAAATTTTGTGTGGATTGTCTAAAGCCAATAAGATGAAAATTAGGTGAAAATCTTAAATTAGAGGTTGATTTTTAAGAATATGTGTTTAATAAGGGGCATTGCACTAATTATTGCATAGAAAAATAAAAAAGGAGGAAAAAAAGAGGAAAAATATTATCTTTTTGTGAAACTTCTTTTCGTAGCTTTTATGACTCGAGTAATTAAGCCTGTAAGGGTATCTAAAAACTTGGTACCCTAAAGTCATCTAACTTATGAGTCATCGACTAAAAGCTCGCTTATGGGTCATTTAGAAAGCTTAATGGAGAAAAGTATGCACATAAAATATGAAAAAAAAAAATCTATTAAAAAAAGAGAGAGAACAAATATTGTTGCATGTTTTGATTAAGCCCCAAACACTTATCTGAGAAAATTAGATTTTTAACAAGGGCTTATTAGCCTAATTGATTCTTGAAGGTCGAAACAATCAAAAATAAAGAGAATCCTTATTTGCTGATATGTTGATCTACAATTAGTACGATCTAACCAAACTAAAGAGTGTGAGGAATAGTATATAAATTCAACCTTAGATCACACCTTGGAAAGAGAGTTAAATAAATAAGTTTAGGGGTGTGAATCTCACGAAATGAAAAATTATAAATTTGACTATCAAGGGTAAGGATTTGAATCACTTTACAAATTTATGATGCTTGATTGAATTTTCACACACACGTCAGTTTTGCATTGAATAAGTAGAAATTAATTTTAGCATCGTGATTTTGTAACAGTTCATAGTCTGAATACATATATTCCAATCCTGATACCAAAGGCAAATTATCTAACCATATATGTTTAAAAATTTTGTTTAAATTATGTTATAATTTTGTTTGAGGACAAACAAATATTCAAGTTTAGGGTGGTTGATAAGTGTATTTTATACACTTATTTAGGCCATTAAATTAAGGAATTTGTTAGTAATTTGAATGAGTTATAGCCTAATTTCATGTTAATTATGTTGTTAGATTGAAATCAATGCAAATTTGTGAATTTTGAAGAAAGGAACGAAAAACGTGCGAAAACGAAGGAATTTCAAAGTTTGGGGGATCAAAGTGTAAACATTCAATAGTTGATTCGAATCACAAAATGATGATTGAAGATTATATGATATCAATTGGATGCAATTGGAGGTCAAATGAATGAAATAGAGTTAAAGCACTTTCACAAATCAATTTTCAGTCGAAAAAGTTATGCTCCAGATTTTAAGTGTCAATTTGAAACCCATTTTTCGAGTAGAAAAAAATCGAATTGGAAGATTTGTATTTCAAGAAGAATTGTACCTCTTTAAGTTGAATTTTCAATGCACCTTGAATCACCTCAATCGGAGTTTATAAGAGAACGTTATAATCAAATTATCGAGAATTGTTCAAGGACAACACGTGAAGCAACGACACGTGCGCGGGGGCAAGCAATGGGGCGCACGCTCCACCTCTTTTTCTCTAACCTGAGAGAAATTTATTGATTGGTGTGCGCGCAATGAAATATATGGCGCATAAGCATGGGCCAAATTTTCTGTGACGGACAAATTTCCTTATTCTGATGAAATTCTATATGGAAATAATATCTTGACATCATAGATATACCTAAACACACCCAGAACAAAGGGAACCTCCATTTTGACCTAAAAATCTTATATTCTACGTATTTTTGGAGGCGAAGAACGAGGTCAAGCGTCAGATAAAGGTGGATTATACAAGTTTATTGAAAAATATATTAATCTATTTTTTAAGATTCAAGCCAAGAAATTGGATTTCTCCACTTTCTTCATTATTTCTTCTTTTCGGGTGATTTTTTTTCCAATATTTCTTGCATAATTTACTCATTAGAATGTTAGGCTAGTTTTTCTATTGTATTTGATGAATGATGAACCCTACTGCATATTTGTTTTGATTTAAAACTATTAATTTAGTTATTTCTTGATTTTCTTGATTGATTTTGCATCCCGATTTCATTATTTAATTGATTGGCCACCAATTGAATAATTAGTTACTTGTTGTAGTGTTAGAAGACTCACAATGAGTTTAGAACGCGATAAAAGCAACATATATAGATAGAATTAGGAGTAATATTTATCACATATGCAATCACATTGATAGCCTGTAATTTAATGCAGTTTGATCGTATGAATTCAGATTAGAGATAGAATCAGGATGTGATTAAAATAGACTTAATTTGTGTTGGAAAAGAGAATTAAATACATTAGTATTACCGATTGTCACGAAGCATGAAATTGACTATATTACAAATCAAGAATTATAATAACTGGCAATAGAAGGATTCACAACTCCAATACAAATATTCACATATTTGATAAAATATTTTTTATTGCTTCCTTAGTTTAGAATTAGTTTAAATAACAATAGAATCACATCTTGTGTGTCATGAACATTGAATTTAATAGTAACTGGTGAAATAGAATTAAATATTATTTCTCGTGGGATGATAACTCAGAACCCAGTTTATTATTACTTGTCAACGATCCCATACGCTTGTCGATTTTACGCGAACAGAAGTGCAAAAGTCCCTCAAGTTGTCCAGATTTAGAACACTGTTACTTCTGCCCCATAAACAGCTGGACAGCCTAATGAATTCTTAGTCTATGTTTTTAGACTACGAACAAACTATTAAGCCAGGCTACCTTCTTATCCACATTTCTAGGTTGCTCAAGTCGGTTCTAATTTATGTAACTAAAAAATGGACAAACAAACGAACATTTCAGAAAATTCACAATTTTTAATAGCTTTTCAATGACATATATAATCAACTTTTATTAAAATTAATTTTTTTAGTTAAACAAAACATGGGCTATACGTGCACAATAAGTTTAGTTACTACATATCTGATAAGTGCGTTTTATGTACTTATCCAAATCATATTATTAAGCTTTTTTTTGTCATCAAAGTACTAAATTCTATTTAACATGGGTTAATTTATGTTTGTTTCAGTATGAGAAATTTTCTAAGCAATTGAAAAAGAAAGAAGGATCAATTAGCCGTTTGATGGAAAGTTTTAGGATCAAATTGTAGACTTCTACCTATCCCCATCTATTTCGGGGAGTTTCTGATTCTTACTCATTTATTTTGATTTTTTCTACTTTTACATTAGAGACAGTGTAATATTTTGTTCGGGGTGAGTAAATATTAGAATACTTAGAATATATTTATTTATTTGTCAATTGTTGATTGGATCTGCATAACTGTTTAATTTTTAAAAAAATGAAAAAAATTCAAAAACATGTCTAGTATAGTGTTGAATGGTTTGTCGCTTATGGTGATATTTATTTGTTTCAATTGAGTAAAGCTTTAGCTGAAAATGGACAACATCGTATCTTATACTTTTACTTGAGTACTTAACCATATTAGACTTGTTTACTTGAGCATATAGTCGTATTGACTTATCACTTATGTTAGGGCATAACTTGATTATGTGGATTTAACTGCTGTTGTTGTTGACCTATACTTAAGTGAATTCATAAATCCTTACTATAAAAACCAAATTGTAGTTCGAGGATGGAGATGGAAAGGTTAGCACTTGTATTTAAAGAAGTTTGATGGTTTGGGGTTCTCGGATCCCACCCTTAATTGAAAAGGTTTGAGTTAAAGAATCTAGAATGGGTATCGACCATTTTCAAAATTCGAATCTCATATCAAAAGAGATAGTGTGATACATTTTATAGTTCTCTTTGTTGGGTTTTTTTGAGTGATAAGCCTACCAGGGTATCAAAAAACCTTGTGTCCTATAATTATCTGACTTGAAAGTCATTGACCTAGAACTCGCTAAAATGGTCATTCATAAAGCTTATTGGAGAAATGTTTTGCACATAAGATATAAAAATAAAGAAAAGAAAGTATGTTACATTATATACTTCCTTTTGTAGCCTTTATGACTCGAATAATTAAGCCTTAAGGGTATATAAAACCTAGTGTCATATAGTCATTTGACTTGAGAGTCATCGGCATAAAACTGTCTACAATTGTTATTTAGAATGCTTAAAAGAAAAGTCTTGTACAGAAGATGTAAAGAGAAAAAATGGATTTAGATTAGCAAAAGCTAGATGTACTTGATAAGGACTTCGATATTTGAAGTCTAGACTTATGATGTGGTTTTGAGAAATACTTGCTATCTCCTTTCTAGTAATACAAGGATTTGTGTGAAAAAAATGCAATATAATAATTATTAGGAACCCACATGTGCTAGAAATAGCTCAAGATTGGAGAGAAAAGCATAAGAAGTAATTTTGCACGAGAGGTGTGAGGAAAAATTGACCACAAGAGGATTGCAATTATGAGTAAATCAACTACACCTGATTTATTGTTTTCTAGTATGGGTGCGAGTTCAATGTTGGTTAATCACATACACAATAATTCAAGCATTGGATAAGTGAAAATATATTTTTGATGTTGTTTGGATCTTTCTAAAGTGTTACGTAAATTTGAACCCGATGCATAAGGAAAAGCAATCCAACGTTGAGCCTATTATTTGTGTTTTGTTTTGTTCGAAAACGAACAAATGTTTTAGCTTGTGGGTGTTTGATAAGCATGTTTTGTGCACTTATGCGAGCCATATTTCTAAACTTTTATATTGTTAAAATACTGAATTCTACTTGACTTGGGTTAATTTTCGCTTGTTTTAGCTTGAGACTTTTCTAAGCAATTGAATAACAAAGAATTATCAATTGGCCATTAGATGGAATGTTTTGGAATCAAATTCCACATTTTGAAAATCGAAAGGACTTGAACTAAATTAAACAAGACATGGGTTGCACAAATAAATTGACTCAAGGGACTAAACTGCATTAATTATAAAGCATGGAGGCCTTGGTGAGAAACTTTATATCAAATTGGGCCTAAAAAACCAATTGGAAAAGGGGTGTGCTACTTGAAAAACCCCTGGACAAAAAGGATGAAAAAACCAATGGAAATGGAACCCTTTTCTGGAAGAAAAACAGCAGAAGGAATTGGAAATAATGAAAATCAATTTAATTCCTTTTATAAAACAACAAGCTGGGGCTTATTGGAGAAAAAAAGGTAAAATAAAAAGACAAGGAAACAAACGTCAAAAGACAGACGAAAAACAATAGTGAAAATGCACACGCGGAAGAAGAAAGATGGACACGTAGAGGAGAAAAAATTTCATTCCAAACTTTTATGTTATAATTCAACGTTTTAAAAATCGACTCGGATATCGACCCAAAAAGAAAAATGGTCAAGGTCAAACGGTTGATCCGAGATCGACCCGGATATCAAAATTAAATACTCCAACAAGCTATAAAATATTACAACAACAATTTTTTTTTAAAAATTTTATTGTTACTAATTCAAAGTAAATATAAATCAATAATGGTTAATTAGATTTATTATCCTATAATTTATTTTAAAAAATAAAAAACTAACAATTAATGTGGTTTAAAAAATTTGCTTTGTTCAAATTGAAATTATTTGTGCTTTGGGGGCGGCCAAATTTTGTTTAATTAAAAAAAGGAAGTGAATAATTATTATATATAAATTACAGAAGGTTACACAACTTATCCCACATCAGAAATTGATGAGAACTTTATATGACCCTTCTCTTTTAAAAACAACACTTGAGTTGGAAGGAGGTAAAATTGGACTTTTATTAAAGTATATATATATATATATTTTATTTTTTTTGGAAAAAACCCCTTGCTAATCGGTAAAAACCATGACCGGTTTTCCAATTGCCGGTCAAAATGGCTAGTTCAATGGGTTATTTACCGATTTTTTTCATTTCCTGTTAATATATTAGGACTGGACCCCAATTTGAGACTAGTTCTCGATTTTGCCGGCTGAACTAGCCACCCTGATCCGATTTTCAAAACTTTGCTATAAATCATCAATACTTGTAAAAGAAGTTTGGGAATATATCACGTTTCACAAATTTATTGATGATATATATTTTTTATTTTATTAGTTAAATTCCGATATTATGAGTAGCTAAGTAATTTCAACTTTAGAGTTACGACAAAACTTTTATTATGAATCTTTAACTCTTAATTTTATTTCTTTTTGACATTTAAAACACGTTTTTAATTTTGAATTATCGAAATGGATTATTATTATTATTATTATTATTATTATTATTATTATTATTATTATTATTTAATTCTGTTGTTTAAATGGTTGCCTATGCTATTGAAGCTCAAAAAATGTACACGACATGATTGTGGATGCTCATATACAAATAGTCATCTTTTCTGACTGGTACATACTTATTTTACTACAAGAAGGGACCATATTGGCGTGGACATTTAATGTAGGCACAAATTGCTTTGAGCCATCTGCCTCACTTGTTTGTTATATGTATTTTTAAATTTGAAATTCATCCAAATCTTTTAAAATTCTTGCAAATTTATGAGTTATTGGTGATACCTAAATTTTAAAGGACTTTATTGAAAATAATTGAAACCTCAGTTGAGGATACCTAGATTTTAATTGATTAAAATCCAATAAGTTTCAATTGGGAACACTTGAATTTAGTAGGATTTTTAAAACTCATCAAAATCTCAATTGATGGCAACTGTAATTATTTCAATAAAAATGGATTTTTCTCGGCATATCTATGTTTCTTTTGTTGGAAAATTGCAAAACAAACTCTTGCCATCATGACCTTGTCCTTCTATTTGTTGTTATTTTTGTTGATGTTATTTGTTATTCTGGCCTGTTTGAAGCACGTTATTAGACAAAAATAAAAATAAAAATTTTGAATGTTAACCATAACATTCAGCTAGTTTTGTTGACTTTTCATCTCTTGTGAGGGGTCCAACTGTGTGTGCAACGATTAGAATTCTTATTTTAATGAAACAAATAATGTGCCCCAAATAGAGGCTCTATGCCGAGCTATGAAGTCTTGAAACTTTGCAATGTCTCCAAACCTTGACTGGACAAACGGATGTTGTGATTTCTATTTTGTGTTAGGATCAATTCATTTTGTCAGCTTCATTGGATAAAACAATCCCTGTTTTCTTCCTTCAATTGTGTAGAAAAATCTGTGGCAACTAATTTAATTCTTTAAACACATCTTGAACATTTGAGAATTTCTACGAGCATAGTGCCTTTGATCGGTGTCGAGTGTAGAAGCGCAAAGAGATCAATAGCATGATTGACTCTATTTCTTCTAAGAATTAGCTTTTCTCGAGTCTCGACAACATAATATCGACCCTCTTGAAAAATACTAAAAAGAAGTCAACTTGCACATTTTTAAAGCCAGATATCCTTCCAAAATAATAATAATAATAATAATAATAATAATAATAATAATAATAATAATAATAATTCAAGACGAACTGTATGCATATATTTTATATGCGGCTTATTGGTTTCAAAATGAAATAAATTTATTGCAGTGGTTGTGAAATGTAAAATGGCCAACAGCGGCAGACAAATGGGAAAGGAAAAAATAAAAAAAGAAAAAGAAGAGGAGAGAGAAAGAAAGATGGAAATTGGCCCACGAGAGGAATTGATTAGGATAAATAGTGATTCACCCCTCTGATCACCACTAAAAAGTTAACAAAGAGAGAAGAAACCATGGGAGAAGAATCAGAAGAGAACCTGGCAGTATGGCTTCTTGGTGTCAGAACACTTAAAATACAACCCTACACTCTGTCTCCTCTTGGTACGTACCAGTTTTTATTGCTTCTTGATTTTTCAAATTCAGTGGCCTCTTCTGAATTGGGTTTAGGCGAAGTAATTTAAAGTATTTGAAAGTTTCCTTCATCTTGAGGAATCAATTTGATCTGAACTTGTGAAAATGAAATAAACGGAATGGATTGCCGAAAAAGTATTCATCTTGCCAACTCTAAATTTATTGGGAAGGAGAGCTTGTTTGTTGTTGATGATACCCATATAATTAAATGAGATATTACCCAATTTTTTTAGTGAAAATTTGAAGTAATTTTATATGTTGTTGATTTTAGGTCCCCGTGATGTTAAAGTCCGGATGAAGGCTGTTGGCATTTGTGGAAGTGATGTACACCATTTCAAGGTAATTCTGTTCAAAATTCTGCTACTTCTACTAGCTAATCCTTGAACAAACACGGCGTGTTTGGTCTATTATTTGATAGTATTGTAGTTGGAGTAAAATAGACAAGAGTTTAGCTTTTATTTTCTTATTTAGTATTGTCCAATACTGTCCAATCCACATTACCAAACATCCCATTTTGAGTTTGTTGTAAATTATTTTGTAAATGATGATTTTTGTTTCACTTATGGGCAACCAGAATATGAGAGTTGCAAATTTCGTGGTTAAGAAGCCTATGGTGATGGGGCACGAGTGTGCCGGTATCATAGAAGAAATTGGGAGTCAAGTGAAGTCACTGGCAGTGGGTGATCGTGTAGCCTTGGAGCCTGGTATAAGTTGCAGAAAATGCTGTCTTTGCAAGAATGGTAGATACAATCTATGCCCGGATATGAAGTTCTTTGGCTCTCCTCCAACTAATGGTTCTCTTGCCAATCTGGTAACAGAACAATGTACCCTTTTCAAATTCATTACAGTTTTCGAGTTAAATTGATACAAAATGGAAATATCAGATTTGGTTTTCATTTTATTGCTCACCAAGTGACTGTTAGCTTTAATTATATCTGGGGTAAGACTTGGAGTGACATACTTTACTTGGATCGTCTTTTCACTATGATTTGCATCGACTATTATATGCAAAAATTTGAACTGTCTTGTATAAAAGCTTAAGCTGTTAAGACGGATGCATTTACCTATTTAAAGGTTGTCTTCATTATATATATGAAACGTGCAGAGTTTTTCATAAAAAGGTGGCTACAGGACTTGAAATCAGTACATTTGTTCAGATACCACCTTGAATCACATCATCAAGAAGCTTGAGCTGTTACTGAGAAGACATATTTATCTATTTAAAGTTCATTTTCAACAGACAACATGCAAGTTGTGGCAGAAACTATAAACTATGCTAACTGTTTTTCTGTCGAAAACAGGTGGTGCATCCTGCAAATCTGTGTTTCAAGTTACCTGATAACGTAAGCTTGGAAGAAGGGGCCATGTGTGAACCTCTTAGTGTTGGCGTCCATGCATGTAGACGTGCAGGCATCTGTCCTGAAACCAAAGCATTGATTGTGGGAGCCGGACCGATAGGCCTCGTAAGTATGCTGGCTGCTCGTGCTTTTGGAGCTCCCAGAATAGTTATTGTTGACATTGATGAACGCCGTTTATCATTCGCAAAAGACCTTGGCGCTGATCAGACCATTCAAGTTTCGAAAAATATTCAGGTTTTTATTATCTGTGCAAATATCATTAACTGTTTGAATCTTAGGAACTGATAGCCGAATAATGAAGCTTCTTCGAGTGCTCTGATTTATAGGATGTTCGAGAGGAAGTGGTGAAGATACAGAATGCAATCGGTGCTGGTGCAGATGTGAGCTTTGATTGTGTTGGTTTCGACAAGACTATGACAATGGCTTTGGATGCAACTCGTGCGGGTGGTAAAGTATGCCTGGTCGGATTGGGGCAGAGTGAGATGAACCTCCCTCTTACTCCAGCCGCCGCAAGGTATGCCATACTGATAGTACTAAACAGTACATATACAACATTTTAACTTTATTTTCTTTCATAATACTTACCAATCTACTTTACCAAACACGCCACAAGAGTTGCCTTTTTATATTTTTATGTATCCAATAACAGCTATTGCCTGTTGTGTGTCAGGGAGATTGATGTTATAGGGATATTTAGGTATCGGAATACATGGCCACTCTGTATTGAATTTCTCCGGGCTGGGAAAATAGATGTCAAGCCTCTGATAACCCACAGGTTTAGTTTTACACAGCAGGGGGTTGAAGAGGCCTTTGAGATCAGTTCTCAGGGTGGTAATGCCATTAAGGTCATGTTTAACTTGTAGACATATCACAAACATTGCATCCCCGTGACAAGTCGGCTTGATTGACGTGGTATTGTAAGCTAGCAGTAAACTGACAACGTTCTCAATCCTCGTGAGCTCTACCAAGAGATAAGAACAGCCAAGATTGCCAATGGAATCGGGGGGGAAAAAGCCTAAAGCCAAAGTTTATTTCTTTGGATTTCTGCAAAAAATTTATGTAAATTTTGTCAACTGTTTGTATTAGATGATCATGCCTAAAGTCTAAATACATGTTTGATGATAAAAACTTGCTTAAAATTAACCTTTATTTATTTTTTAAAGCTCAGCTAAACATTTGCTCGTTTGATTGCAAATATCAGCTCCACTGTTCTCTTGAATTAGTTAAAGAAACATTTCTGGGATCGTAATATACGTAGTACCCTGCTGGGAAATCGTGGCGGGGATGTGGGAAGTGGAATGTGGTCCTTGTCTTGTTTCGGATCTTATTTTTTATTATTTTAATATTTTAAAATTTAATTTGTACAAAATAAGTAGTAAAATAATATTATAAAAATAAATATGTAAATATAGTGGTAATTGGAGATATTTTAACTCTCGTTCCTTTTACAAAATTTTCAGTAAAATCCGGGGATGGAGAGGGCCACCTTGCCATCTCAACTTATTTTAAAATCATATAATTCTCATCATCTTACTACCATGAGGTACAAGTATAACTGAGCTGAGAATACTTGTCAAACTCCCAAGTAACTTGATGATGATGAACTTTACAATGAAGATGACATAAATGACGAGGTCTCACTCACACATATTTGGCAAAGTCGTTTGGCATTAGACACTAGCCAAAAAGACGACTCGCATTTATGAAATTATACTTCTCCGGCCATCTGAGGATATGATGTCATCCAGGATGGGTAAAGTTGAGAAGCGGGTAGCCCATCTTCACAAGCTATTCCATGACCATTCTCATCTGCTCAGGACAAGCACGACAACGAATGGTGTTGTCTTGGGTTGACCACTTAGCCATACAACATGTGGGAATCATGGTTGAAGAACTCTTGTGCACGCCTCTTTATGAGACTAGTCGAGTTGCCAGATTAGCGGTGTGACAGGACAAACACAGCCCCTCACATAAATTAGTTGTTGGGTTTTGATACCTAATAAATTCGGACGATGATTTAAAATAGTTGATCGATAATTTATTGACAATATAGACTTGACTCGACTCGGATATGATCGACACTTTTGGAGGGCCCAAGTTGGAGTTGGATTGGTGGTTTGATTAGTGTGTGGCCTTGTCAAACTCCAAGTAGCTTGATGATGACAAACTTTACAATGAAGGCAACATAAATGATGAGGTCCCACTCCTACATAGCAAGGTCGTTTGGCATTAGACACTAGCCAAAAGACGACTTGCATTCATGAAATTATACTCCTTCGACCATCCGAGGAGATGATGTCATCCAAGATGGGTAAAGTTGAGAAGTCGTCTAGCCCATCTGCACTAGCTATTCCATGACCATTCTCATTTTCTCAGCATAAGCACGACAAAAAATGGTGTTGTCCAGGGTCAACCACTTGGCCATACAATACGTGGGAATCATGGTTGAAGAACTCTTGTGCACACCTCTCTTTGTGGGACTAGGTTAGCTGCCAGATTAGCGGAGTGGTAGGACAAACACAATGCCTCACATGGACTAGTTGTTGGGTTTTGATACCTAATAAATTCAAGCAATGATTTAAAATAATTAATCAATAATTTATCGACGTCATAAACTTGGTTCGACTCGAATACGATCGATACTTTTAGAGGACTCAAGTTGGTGTTGGATCAGTAGTTTGATTAGTGTGTGGCTTTGGATTTTTGTTGGTCCATTAACTTGGCCCATTTGGTGAGATATATATTTGGCCCTTTTAAATGGATAAATTAGGCCCAAATTGAGTAACCTAATGCATCCATATATTCGACCTTTTTGAAACAGCCCTGTGCGGGTTTTTGCGAGGGGAGAGAGGGCAGTTGTGCGTGAGAGAAGAGAGAGAGTGCAACCATGTGCTGGTGAGCTGAGCCTCCATTCTTTTTTCTTTCTTTTGTCATACCTTGCAGCCACCGTCATCGTGGGTGAGAAAACTTGTATATATATATATATATATATATATATATATATATATAATGATTTACATGCACATGATGTAAAGAAATATGATTGAGTCGAAATTTTTTCAATAAAATAAAAATAATCCCAAATCTCTTTTTTACACTTCATTTGTATGTAAATCATTATGTAACTCCATTATATACAAGTAGCATTATTTTAATTATTATGACATTTTTTGTCAGATGGACTATATAGTATGTAAATTAATTATTATGAATTTTATTGGTTAGATATATATTAATTATTATGCCCTTTCTAGATAGATGGCCTCAATAGAATGCTTTTATTTTTTTATTATTATTATTTTATTTAATCCACACATTTAATGAAATTTAGAATTTTTATCAACTTTGCAAGTACATATTTGATCTTTTTTTTTTTTTTTTTTTTTATAAAAAAAAAAAAAAAAAAAAAAAAAAAATTTTTAAAAATTATTGAAAACAACAAAAACTTAAATTTTGTCATTTGTTCAATTCAATAGTGCACACTAAATGTGTCGGCGACCACCATATGAACGAGCAATGAAGTACTTTAAGGCTTGTTTAATAAAAGGTTGATCAAACTTCATTTCTAGTCACATTTCATTGACATGTTATGTAATGAAGTAATTACATCAGAATGCCACATCACCTTGGACAGGTTCCCATTACGTGCCCACGTATTATAGGACGAATGTAATAATACACTTGACCGTCGAGATCTTTTGGACATCAACAGTTGATGCCCCGCTAAGCAAGGAAATATACCAAACCTCAGCATTTGGCCAAAAGAATGATTGTTGGTCTTGGCCAACAACATGATTAAGGATAAAAATTTGACAAAATCAACCTGAAATTCAGTGGACTAAACCCTTGCATGCAAACAACGGAAATCTGGGAAAGTGTCATAAAAGTAGAAGCATCCATAAGCTTTAACTATGTGAGTCACATATGACTTCCAACATAATGATGAAAGAATGCCAACTCACAAAATAACTAAAACGCCTCATAAATCTTTTAAAAATAGACCATTGCAAAATTCAAAGGATACTGACTTTCACAATAAAAATCCTAAATATTAAAAGATTATTTCACTTAAAATATTGTCTCGAATTAAAAGGACATATGGTTTTGGACCACTCGAAAATTAAAAGAATATCTTTCGTCGAGAAACAACCCCCGATAGAAAGAATGTGAAATCTATATTTATCTTTTTATTATGAAAATTGGCTTCTAAACACATCAAAATCCCAAAAGAGGTCAAATCCTTCGAAATCCTAAGCAAAAAACTCTATCGTTGGCTTTGAAAAAGTATAATTCAGTTTTTGACAAGAACGGATTTAGGATTGGATTCAAGATCGGACTAAAAAATTTCAAATCGGGCTACTACGCAGGAAAAAAAATTTACACATAAAAAATTGGTTTTTTACCCAAAAAAATAAATAAATAAACACCTTAAAAAATGTTATTGGGCCTGAGTGGGGGGCTACAACCCCCCAAATCCGTGTCTGGTTTTTGAGTCAACAATTTGACATTGTCCTTAGGAATACCTACCAAAATCACGAGAATAAAACAGGTAAAGAACAAGTAAAACCAAGAAAAATGAGCCAGAACGGATCAAACAATAATGAGAATCCAAATAGGAGCAAGAATGAAAGCCGTGTGCTTTTAGTAGGAAGCACTCACAAGCAATGAAATTGAAAGTAATAAAAATGGTGGCTAGGGTAACTCAAACTGTAGGGGTGAAATCCTAGCAATTCCAAGGTATTTCTAGGCTTAGTTTAACCACCAATGTCAACACCACAATCGAACTCAAATCCAATCGACCCAAACGGTTTCTTCCCTTCACGGTTGCTTTACTTGCCCACAAAGAACTCGCCAAGATGTACTATTCCACACAGGAAACGACTACAAAGGTATCACAGGTGAAAAGAGACCAAATAGAATCACAGAGAAAATGGGAAGAAGAGCAGAGGCTACAGTTCTATCTTTTTTTCTTACGGGTTGTTTGGAAGCTGTGAGAAGAAGCAAGTATATAGCCAAAGTAAGGAGTCCAAATATGGTGAGTTAGGTATAGGTTAAAGTCACGGCCCAAAAGGCCCAACACTCAAGTCAATGGGTTCCAAAATAGGTAACAACATAAAGCCCTCCAAGTAAAGGTGAAATGGGCCACGAGCGACACTATTAAATTAGGTCACTTCTAGTGGTCCATACAATTTGGGGTTGGGTCGTTCTAATAGTGGCATTGACATTTCGTTCAGCTATTTAGTCCAAGCCGATTGATAATTAAAATCGGTTTTACATCATAGCCCGACGAGTTATTGGGTATCAAAACCTAACAATCTTCACCTTGATGCCCAATAACCTGCAAGCAATCAAAACATGGAGTTTATACTTCCAAAATTAAGGTAATCCAATAAAATTGGGCTCATAGACCTTACCTCGTGTTTCCAACCTGAAACACATACCATATCTACTCCGTATACTCACCAGGACTAAGGTCAAGAATACCCAGATAGTACTTATAGTGAATAACTAATCATGCGATAAAGATATTATCTAGGATACCTCACACAGATCTTTTCAAATTCACGTTCACACAGAACCATCGATTAACATCAAGTTAATCAACACACGGTCAAACACATATGCAACACATGCATAAATGACCTCACGAAAGATCTCACTACACCTATCCTATCCTACTCCGTGTTACTCCCATCTTGAGAACACATATCTCCTCTCATCGTCCACCATACTCACTAAACTAATCTCTCAGCTTATGTCTAATTGGCAAGTCACTATAGATCCTAAATTCTCGAGATAATCCTCTATCACCACATCACTTCTCCCAACCTCCATGGATAGTGGGACTCCACCTTACAAAAGTGATAGAAGTGTCTCTCTCTCACTCCACCTGTACAGGATCTCTTTCATAGATAAATGATTCTACACATTTGATCACATCTCCACTCGTGATCCAAATGTCACACTCTACATTCCCCGGTACAAAACATCATGTACCCCTAGGCATCTATACTCCACCTTACCAAAAAGCACACAACACACTGCTAATGTATCATAACCCATTATGCATGCAAGCAATTACAACAAGTAATCCTAATGTCTCAAATTCATGCAAATGGACATATCAAACACATTGAGATGTTGCAGATAATTATGCAACAAAATTT